TTAACATCAAGCTCATCTTTGCATTTGTGATTCGTCTAAGGTATTCATCTGGAGTTACCCATGCCATATCTTCCTCTGGAGGGTGCAGAAGTTCCAGGACATTTAATAGAATCGCCTTTAAGCCAACCCATGTATTCTTCATGGTAGCTTTTGGGAACTTCAGTATATTTTCACAAAATTCCTTGGAGTTGGTAGAAGTTGTGGAGGGTGAAGACTTTAGGCTTCTCATTCTTACATACCTGTAGCTGCTGTTCTGATTCCTATATCCATAACCTTTTTCCAAATACCAACCTGTGAAACTATTACCTCCTGGAATTTAGAGCATGATTTTTTCCACATGGTGGGGAAGTTGGTCACAGTAACATCCTTGTAAGATTCAGTCAGTGCTGTGATCTGGGTGTTGGTGTCTGCTCCAAAGTGTGTGTTGAAATGCTAATCTCATGTTGGTATTAGGTGGGGCCTTTGGAGGATGGAGTAAGTGACAGGTGGAAGAGTCCTCAGGAATGGGATCCTTTCTCTTATGAAAGGTTTGAGAAAACACCCCCCCCCACACACACACGCACGCATACACACATGCACACGCACACATGCGCACACACATGCATATACACGCGTGTGCGTGTGCACGCACACACACACACACACACACACACACACTTCTGCTTTAGGATACAGTGAGCAGGAAACTTATGAACCAGAAAGTCAACTTTCATCCACAGAATCTCCTGTTGTCTTGATCTTAGATCAAAACCTCTAGAATGCTGTTGGAGTAACTTCTGCTGTCAATAAGCTTCCCAGTTTGCAGCATTTGTTTTAGGGTCCTGCACAGACGGACTGCTAGACTCACTGATGAGTGAGCAAGAGCAAACTGTGAACCTCTACTGTGACCATTGCTCCTTTCCTGTTCCTAATGACTCCAAGTTTGTTTGCTTGGATATGGATATTTTCTTCTCTTCTATGGTGATCAGGTGTTGTTGTTGGAATTGAAGTGAGGAAATGCATTTCTGAACTTTTAGTTTCTTTCAGTCTCTTTTCCCAAGCGCATCTCATTTCAACTCCAAAGTCAATAAAGTGATATCGTTGTTTCCCGGTTTACTTCTGATTTACAATAAACAAGCAAAAGCCATGAGTCAAATGTTCTTTATTTTTAAAAAGTCACATTAGGGAAATGAATGGCTGTGGATGGGTCTGGAGCAAACACATTACAAATATACACGTAAGAGTCCATTAGTTGATGTGACATAGCCTATTATACAAATGTAATGGTCTAAAGCATAACAGACTATAATGTAATTCTTTATTATGTTTTAGAAACAAGCATCAAGTTAATGTAGTTGTTAAAAAGAGATTTATCTTAGTCTTGATAATCAGTTCAGAAAAATTAGGGTATATGTATATTTAAAGAGTTGAAAAGGGAATATAAAAATTGTTTGGAATTTTTGTTTTCTGGTTTTGTGAGATGCTATTTACTTTTACTTAGGCGTTAGGTCGAGTGTAGCTAGTGTCCTACTGCCATTACTTACAACCAACACCGTTCACATAAACTATGCATATATCCTGTCATTAAGACTATAGTCTCATTAGGTGGTAGTGGCATATGTCTTTAATCCTAGCACTCAGGAGACAGAGGCAGGTTGATCTATATGAGTTTGAGGTTAGCCTGGTGTACAGATTTAGTAGACATCTAGGGATGTTATATAGAGAAACCTTGTCTCAAAAAACAAGCAACAACAACAAAAAGACTACGGTTTCTGATATCAGAATGCCTGTTTACAGACCTGCCTCTGCCATCACTTCCCCTAGTTTCTGCATTCTTGTTGAGAAATATACATATTATTAAAGCATGACAGAGGAGATTGAGTGATTTCATGTAAAACACCTAGCACAAAATGGAATATCTAAATCCTAAGAAAAATAGCTAGACTTATCCTTGTTTCTTGCTTTCTTTTCTACTAAAATAGCTTATGAACTGAAGAATAAAACTAAAATGGAATTGCTAACATGAAGAAAAGTAAAGCTGGTGATTTCTGTCAGGACTGAAAGCCTAAGAATGTGTTAGGACCTAATTTCATATAGATTTGGTTGGCATTGGAGGAGCAAAGAAGTCCACATAGGAGCAAAGTTTGTAGCAGAGGATAGTCTTTTCTCGCAAAGAATTTTTGGAAAATCATGGTATGTGTGTTTGTCTCCCTCATTTTGTTGGGTGAAATCCAAGTGGCTGATTCTTAAGTATCTTGATTCACCACCTACAATTTTTCTTTATTAGAAAAATGGCAGTCCCGCATTTATGATGCAACATATTAGTAGGGTCTTTTTTCACCGTTCTTTCAAAAATTATACTTATATTGAAATTTATGGAAAATGATACCTGTAAATTAATGCAAAAGTTTGGTTTATGTCTTTTCACTAAGAAGATGCTAAACCATCAGGATCCAATAGTTGTTTAATACCGAGGGGTTGTAGAAGAATTGGAAGATTAATTGGTTTTTTTAAAAACTATACTCTGGAGTGACACAGAGACATGGGATCAAACATGGAAGACATGCATTTATAATGAGAGAATGATTTCTGCTATTCTGGTTGAAATTTGGGGTCCATCTTAAGTAATTCCATACTTGGCTATGACAAAATGGTTACATGATCTGAAGGAGTCATATATCTTTGTACATCAAACTAGGGATTGCCTTTATTTTAAAAGGGGAAAAAAGTTAAACCACTTGATGATTACAACAGTATTCATGACTTGCAGTGCTGACATCCTGTAGATTGATGCAGTCTTAAGCTCTGGAAATACTGTGTCATCTAGAAGATGAGAAGTATTAATAATGAAAAAAATATTCATGTAGTCAGCAAATTGTCAGTAAAGGTGGCTTAGATTATTCAAGTCACCCCACAGAGACTATGTCAGGTTGCAAATTATTCTACCCACAATGTTTGAAAATGAGTAAAACGAGTGTTATGATACATCCCTCATCCTTTTATGTTTTTTCTTCCTTCTCTTTCTCCTTCTCTTTTATTCTCCTTTTCCTCTTCTTTGAAATTGTGCACCTAAGTAAAATGCCAGCAATCCTTGAAAAATAACAGACCATTCTTTTGAAATCCAGATTGCCTTTAGTCAATACTGTAGTGCTTTTTACTGTGTAGACTGTGCCTTGAAAGTCTCATGTGCTTTTTGTGTTCCTTTTATTTATTCTCTGTCATTTTATGATTGTTGTCTTAAGATCTGAATCTAATGACTGTAATGATATCATTCATTATTTGATAAAACTTTTTGATAGTTGGAGGGACAAGAAATGTTGTTACAGTAGCAATCACAATGTAAAACTTACCTGGGTCACTTTTTTTCAATTCCTAATATTCATTCAAGACTCACCTTTAAACAAAAGATCAGGAAACAGCTTTGGATCCTGGCACAACTGTCATGTCTTTCTACCTACATTTTGGAGGCCTCACTTCACATTTGGATACCTGGTTCTGAATGACTTAAGACTTTATTCAGAGTGTTCATGAATACTTTATTACATGCCTCAGATATAAAAATAAAGAAAACTGAAAGAGGTGATACACATGATAGCTAACTATAATAACTATTTCAATATATTTGTACACTGAAGCATTTTAATATGTACATTCAATGTAAGTATGTGTGTTTATTAGTTATATCTCAAAAAAAAGCAAGGAAAAATACATACAACATGAAACTTGACCTCAGGTGGGTTTGAGAGGCAAGTCCCCTGCTAATTAATTGCCTGTATCCGAAATTAGTTAGATGACTGTAGTACACCCAAGCCAGAATCATATTTTCTACATATCCTCTTTAATAAATTTCCTATTTTACATCTCAGTTGAAATTCAGATGTGTTCACGTATCTATTTTATACTTAAGTTTATCTCATTTGCTTAAAACACCCCTCAGACTCTTCTGAACCACTTTGATTTCATGATGGGAAAGATGTTTTAAAAAGTAAGCTAATAAATAGAGTATAGGTCTGTACTGTTCACACTATGGTCTACTAGCTTACCAATAGCACTAAACTCCAAATTTTATCATATCTAACCACTGTCTATGATTTTAGTGATGTGACTATGAATGAAATGCATTTTTAAAACAACTTAGCATATTAGTTCACAAGTCTAATTGAACTGGTTGCTGTGAAAGTTATTTAACTTTATTTATTTATTTTTTATATTTTATTTTCCAGTTTAAATTTAGATAAGAAACGAGGTTGCTTCACAAGTCAGTTCCAGGTCCCTCTCCCATTCCCTCCCCCCTCCCGTGCCCTCCCCCCAACCCTCCCCGTTATCCCCTCATTCCCCCAGGGAGGGTGAGGCCCTCCATGGGGGTGTCCATAGACTGTCATTTCATATAGGGCAGGGCCTAGACCCTTCCCCAAGAGTTCAGGGTGAGAGTGCACCTCACATTGTTCTATGGGAGTCCAAAGTCCGTGTGTATACTTGGGATGGGTACTGATCTGCTGCCCAAGGCTCAATAGATTCCCTAGGCCTCCTCACTGACACCCAGATTCAGGGGGTCTTGATCAGTCCCATGCTGGATTCCCAGGCTGATGCCTGGGATTCAAGAGTTAACCTTTGTCTGGTCAGCTGTTTCTGGGGGTTAAACTGTACTGTAGTGGTTATTTAACTTTATTTAAATGTTCCTCAAGTCGTTTATGTCTGTTTTCTCTTCTGCTATCATCTCCTGTTAAAGTTAAGGTACAGTTTCCAATTATAATGCACTCCTGACCCAGGAAAATAAAACATAAAATTGAGCAATGAATTTCTGTTGTAGTAGTAGCATTGTAGTACAGAGGTTTTTTTTTTTTCTTCTTTCACACAGTGCATACCTAGAGAAGAGGTTTAGAGAATAGGTTGTCCTTAGGTCATTTCTTGTGATACAAGGGTTTCACTTCTCACACTCAGTATACTGTAGGTCATGAATATTTATGAATTCTACGTGTGTATGCTAGTTTTTCATTATTTTCCATTCTCATCATTTTCAGGTCTTCAGCATCAGGACAAGAGCAAAGAATCAGCTTGGTACTGAAGCATGGTATTGGCAGGTCACATTGCAGCCTGAATCCAAGGGCCCACCAGGAAGATGCCATTGTGATTTCCTATCCAGCAATGGGAGACAGGAAGCATGGGTGGAGAAGAGGACATGTAAGGTCATTGTCTTTGGATTGACCCTTTTTTTCTGGAGGAAACAGTGGGTCCTAGTCATTGAAGAAAAGCATTTTGTCTGTTTTCCCTCCTCTGAGCCTTTTTCAGCTGTGCAACGCCTCGTTTTCATCGCCTTTTACCAAGACCTTGGTTAGTTTTCATTTGTTTCTTCTTTTTTTCTTCTTGAACCAGCCGCCTTGTCAGGAGAAGACGAGCCAGCAACTGAAAATGCTCATTTCTTCAGGAAAACCATTTTGCAGCTCTCGTCATCTATTTTTGTAGAAACACAGAAACTTTGGTTTAGCATGAAGGGGATATTTTTGAGGGATGTAATTTTTTTTAATATTGTAACAATTGTTGAGTTCTGTTTAAAGAACTTGCTCTCAGAAAAGCACTAGCCACAATGCGTTGAAGCGCAGATCTTCAAACTGTCGGTGATGTGCCCTGTCTGTGCTTCTGAGGGTACCTCAAGGGGTTTGGACTTTTCTGTACCAGTGGCCCTACCCTAGGCAAATCAGCATTTACATCCAATCTCAGTGAAGACTTAATTCCATGGTAGCTCCCTTAGTTTGCTTGTGTGGCTTGAAAAGGCACTTTGTTTTAAGGGCTGCAAATCATAGGGTATTTTATTACTTTGACTTTTCCCAAAGAGTTCTTGGAGGTTGACTAATGAGAAAGTTTAGGTTAATGAACAAAGCATCATTCTTTTTATGGTCCATCCAATCTTAACAATTGGGAATAGAGCTTATGCACAGCTTCAATACAGGAAAAACAATGCATTCAGCTATGATACCTGTAGATACATGTCAGTGACTAATTTTCTTAATTTCTAACCAATTGTTAATGGAAGTCTCGAAAGCCATACTTTGAATAAATTTATTCCTTGGTGTGAATTCAAATGAATAGTATCAGGAGAAGAAGCAGGAACATGACAAAGAGCTGACTGTCCCTCACCATTGTAAACTGACAAGTGATGTATTTTTTATGTAGTGTTTTAATTGGAGCATTTTGCAAGATTTTAAATTTCTTTAAAGTGTCATTAGTTTCTCAAAAATGACAGAGAATTAGTAGTGGCGATGGATTTAAGTTTATACTTCAGTTGCAGAAACTGAATTAAAAACTGAAAGCTTGAGAAGCAAAGCTCACATGGGCCACAGAGGAAAGGAAAGTGAAGTTGGAATTAACCTTAAGAGAAGATTAGGCGAAGGTTGGGATTACGAATGCAGCGGTGACTGGCAAATCAAAGACACAGTCTATTGTTCCTTTCAGTTTCTCCCAGTCACGGGAAGTGTGAGTGTGATGCAGATGCTTTTATTTGATAACTTCTCTCAGATTTTCTCATCTCTTTTAGCCGCACACAACAGGAAGATGTGAAATGTGCTACTTTCTGTTTTTAATTGTGTGTGTCGTGGGTGTGAATGCTTTACACATTAACAACACAACAAGCGGTTCAGCAGAATTCTCTCAACTCTCTCTTAACATTTTGCTTGGACAGATCATATGCATTAGTGTCTCCTCCTTCTGCACTTGTGTTATAAGCCCATGTCATTGTGTGTGTCCACAGAATCCATCATTTCTTCTTCTTGATTGTCTTTAACACTGTCTTTGCTCTTTTCCCATTATAGTCTAGACTTATTGTAACTTCCACTCACTTGTATATAAAGTTAAATGTCCAGAGAGAGGCCTCATTAAGTTCTCTGCATTTTTATGTGGACCTTGATGACAAAACTTGTTTTATTTGTTATCTGCACCAATATGTGCGACACAGAGCTGAATGGATCTGTCAAGTTTGTTTTAGCTCGAGTCCTCCTGGGTTCTGAAAAACAAGCTCTCAGCAGCTGCCGTGAGGGAGACTCACTGACTGTTATCTCATCTTGCCTTGGAACAAACTGTCTTACTTTGCAACCTCTTAGAATAGTGCCACTTGAACTCAATGAGCTCGTTCCATTGTATTTTCCCAGCCAACGTGAGGCAAAGGGAGCTAACTCTTTGCCTCATTCTTTCTTTATCATCTAATTGGATTGAAAGAGAAAACAGATTAGTGATTTCTTATCTCCTCATATCTATGGGCAAAACATAATTTGTCACAAGGCCTAAGGAACGTGAAAAATCTGAATTCTATTGCATGCAACAAAGACATGGGTTCTCCTTTAGAGAACAGGCTTGGGTATCAATGGTACAGTGACACCAAAGGAATACATCAAAATCTAGTAAAAAGAGAGGGAACATGGCTAATTGTCCAACAAAGTTTTAACAATACTTTAACAACCAGAGATAATAAAGGGGCTTAAACACAGCACAATAAATAATCCGAGTTTATTTGCATGTAAAGTGCTATTATACTCTGAACCTGAATTTCTCAAAGTTTGACTGCATGATTGAAGGCTGGGTACCTCTCTGACTTCATTAGATCCACTCTACCTTGAACTGTTTTCCAACTTCAGTTTCTTCCAGTCTATCTGAAAACGTGTAAACTTGACACTGGAGAACTTTATTATTCTATATGTAATCTATTATTCCACCAATGGACTAACTAAACTAAGAAACAGCATAATGTTGGTTTCCAGGGTCCACACAGGATATTTGATCTTTCCTTGTAAATTTGTAAAGAGCCTTTAAAGTTTAGAGTCTAAACATTTCTACAAACCAAGAAAGTTAGCTATTATTTTAACTTTTCTCTTTTCCATTTCTTTTTAAGAAATACTAATATTGCCCAAAAATATATACAATAAGAATTAGTGGATTGCAAAAATATTGAAGAATACATTCATCAATTTTGTAGGATTAAAAACTGTTCTAGAGGATGCCTATATGAGCTCCTCATTTATTTTACAAATTGTATTTATTCATTTCTAAACTTGCAGAATATGGGAAAGGAAATAGCTTTAAGCTTCCTGTGTGACTGAAGGCAGTAGCCATAATTTCAAGTGACAGAGATTGTATTTCCTATAAATTGCATTCTGTTCCTTAGGAAAAGCATCCTGTGTGAAATAGTATTTGCTGAGTTAGCCAATGGGAGTGGCAGTAAGTGATGGACAATGCAAAGACACATGTTATCATTTTGATTGAGAAGAGAGTAGTGGAGCAGGATGAGTTAGGGTAAACTTAGTTCTTCAGACTTAGTCATGGCTTACTGTGTGATTTGGAATTTCATTTACTTACCTCATGATAAAAAACTGAATAATACTACCTAATAACGAAGGCTGTGAAAATTTGAAAATATATACAGATGAACCCCACTTGTAGTGTAGACTTTCAAATAACTGACAGCCTCCACAAATGACCATGAGTTCAACAAGTTCGTTATTAAGTTGAACTCTTAGATACCCCGTTTTCTTCACATTGCATATTCATTTTTTTAGCAACCAAATAAGCCAGCAACTGCTTTTGTATAAGTAGTGATGGCAAAGAGAATCTTTCTCTTCTTAATTACGGGAGGAGAAAGTGTTCACTTTTTAATTAAGTCTGAGTTTTTAATATGGTGTTGCTGAAGGAAAGTTAATTAAACATTTAGTGGTATGTAGAGTGAGTCATATTCATTCACAACTCTGTACATTACTGTCCCCGAAATTAGTAGGGCAGTGTCATACAGCCACTTAACTTTGTGTTTGTTAGATATACATTGTGTTTCTGTGGTGCGAGGACTAAGAATGTTCCCTTTCAATTACCCACCCTCCTCCCTTTGTTTTTACTTGTCTCCGAGGAAAAGTTGCATAATATGGTGGAAAAAATCATTTGCATGGAAAGGGAGGGGGAAGCACCCCCTTTCCGATTGCAGTCAGCGGATTTACTTTGTTATAGAAAAAAACTGAAACAGCTTTATTGGAAGCAGATGTTGACACTGTGTCGGTTATTGAAGATGGAAAGAGTTCACTCAGTCGCTGCAGTTACAAAGGGGTATGGATGGCAGTCAGGGTTCCTGTGATGGATCACCTTCCTAGCTTGTGGGAGGACAGCAGACGTTGCACGGAACCAAAAAGGAAGTCAGCCTGTGTGCCACGTTAAGGTGCTTGGGACACCAGGGACTAAGCTTGGTTGCTTCCTTTTCTTTTTTAACCTTTCCCTACAGAATGCATAATGGACATCTTTCAGGTAATATTAAGGCTACACAGACAAGTTAAAACCAAATCTCTCTTAAATCTACAGTTTGAGGAATCCTTTAGCTCCACCACTATAATGTGAAAACTTTGAAATGCTTTCAGAAAGAATCAAGCAACATTTGTGTCACAAACTAGCAGAATACACACACAGATAAACTATGAAAGGAAGATGGTCTTGGTGTTTGGGAATAAATGGAGCCAGCAAGGGAACCTGAGTTTCAATAGCTTCACAATACTAATCGACCTGGTCACATGGTGGTCATGGAACTAGGTTGAATATCAGACTTGTAGAATATTGCATTTTTACTCTTAGTGCTTTCTGGGAATTTTTAAACTATAAAATTAGTTGTAGTTAAATGTCTTAACTTTAAATTTTTTGTTATGAGCTTTTATTTGCTTGAAGCATTTTGTGATGTGAAATGATTAATCAAGGAAATATTCTTGAAGTTTTGAGCAGTTTATATTGATCCAATGACATTTTCTAAATCTGCCTTTTAAACCACAGGGAATTCTAATAGATTTAAATGTAATTTGCCAATTCTGTTATGTTGTGTAAGTCAAAAGGGACTCTTGCTCTTCTAGAAAGGGGCACGCCATCACCAAAAAGTTTCTTTTTGAATGGTTTCTGACTACTAAATTTTAGCCTAAAATTAGTTTCTTTTGAATATAAAATTCTTAAAGAAGTTTCCTTCCTTTCTGCCTAAGATGTGAACTTTTCTTTTTATATAAATAGAAGTAGACCTTTTTGTTTTGTTTTGTTTTGTGCTGTGGCTAGAGCCAAAGTTAGTGGTTTTTACACTCTTGGTTTAATGTGTAGGAGATGTATACTTGTGGACATCCTATCTGATTTATGAACACTATTCCATATAAGTATTTTTCAAGATATACAATGTAGGGAAAACTTCATGTGAGTTCTTTGTATCATTTTAAAATGCATATATTTAAAAGGAAACATTGATTCCTTTTGTTTTCATTGTGTACACCTGCGTAAGGTGAAATGGTTTTGTAAAGAGAAAGATACACAATATGGCAAACTTTATATTTATCACTCTATAAGGTAAACTGAAAACTAATAATAGAACTCATATCTTCTAGCATTGATATACAGTGAGATTCCAGGTTTATTAGTTTTGAAAGAAATCATGCCACCTTGATCTCACATTTCTAGAAAGGAAAGTCAAGCAATCTCAGCTATGATGTCATTGTTAACTAATGAATAATGTATAATTCTTAAATCGTTTGACTTTATTATTGTAAAATCTTTGTCACTGATATAAAATCATGGAATCCTTTGTAAGAAAAACAGATGTCATTTTCTTTAATTTGCTCAATAAATAATTTAATGTGACTTTAATGACTGCGTCTGCACTTCTAGTAACTAAACTTGTTTCCTCTGTGTTTAAACAGCTTGTAGATAATATTCAAAAGTAACAACTTAGATTTTATAAACTATGAGGTTAACTTCCAGAGCCATGACATTTATTTGTTACAGTTTGGAGTGGATTATGAAACACATGTTTACAAAGGAAGAGTAATTGAAATGAATTAATGACATAACAGCAGGAGTCTTGAGAGGTTTTTTTTTTTTCAGTATGATGCTTCTAAGGTATTCGTTTGACCCTTTGTTTGCTCCTTATGATTTTCTTTCCATGTTTGTCAGCATAGAACTTTGTCTAAACAATGTGAAAAGACAAATCAACAGCAACAGCAACTACAAAACTTTTCTACAATTGACTGACAGGAACGAAGTGGCCCTGGAGACGCTTTTCTAAGAGTTTGTGTCGTGAAAGAAGTTACACATGCTCACTACGTAGACCCTCTTTGTTCTTATTAAGTGTTCTTTAATATGGAAATGTGCATTTGGAAGGCAGTCTTAAATGAGAATATCCTCCAGCAATGCAGGTGAAATAACTTGGCCCCGATTTCATTACAGTCTGACATAGACTAGGATAGTGTAAGAGGGATTTATGGCTACTCTAAAAATTTACCACAAATGCAATGACTTAAGACAACACAAGCAGATTATCTTACAGTCCTGCACCTGCTGGGCATTTAGCACAGGTTTTGTCTTGGTAGACTGCAAAGCACAGACTGCAGCTTTCTCACACTGTCCTAGAGAAGATCCAGATCCTGGCTGACTTTCTGTTTCTGCAGCCCTTCAACACTGGGCCCTTCATCCTTATTCAAAACCAGTTCCCCTAACCTGGTGGTAGTCTCACATTCTCTTCTGCCTACTCCTTGTATAGGTAAGGCCCCTTTGTGGTTGCAAATTAGTTCTACTTGTAGAATTCAGGATAATGTCGGATATTTCACAGCCCCATCTGCAAGGCCCCCATTTCTGTGTGAGATATGTGTTCTGAAATTTGGGGGAAAGAATGTAAACACATATTATTCTGCCACAATTTATTGCCTTTAGTGGATTTCTTAAAATCAGTTTATGACCAGGGAGGACTTACTACTTCAGATATTAATCAGATATTAATAGAGCATAATCATTGCTTTGTGTTTGTGTGGGATATTGTATTCCCTTTAGATAACTGGTGTTTTTGGTGTTTCTTTAAAAATGCTTCCTGAAATGTTTAGGACTGTTTATGGAGCTGGAGAATACAAGAGGTTACTACCAGAACTTAAAGTTGTGGAAAACAGTCCTTGAGGGAGTGTAGATTCTTACTCACTGAAGTGTGTTCTCTGAGGACAACCAACAGCCATTTAGTTTTTTTGCTTTGGGGTGGGGCTTATGCCCATGCTGTGAGTTGCCACTTCTCCAAACTTCTCATTTGACTAAATAGTCGCAGATAACCTCATTGACATGGTGAAGTCTTAACACTTCTGTCCAGATCAAGTCATTCCATCTGCTATCAGTTAAACAGTGGAAAACTATTACAGAAAAGCAAGTGTGTTTTGATAGATTTAACAAGGAAAGGAGGAATCCATTCCATGGCATGCTGCTGATCAATAATTGAGCTGCCAGCCTGATGGAAACAACAGCCATACACAAGTGCTCTACTTTCCATACCAAGTTTGGCTGTGGCTGAATGAACACCAGCATTGATCCCTGCCTTGCACTTGTACAAGCCACTATTTACAGAGAGCCAAATATAGCAGCAGAGGATTTAATATGTTGCCAAAAACTACAAAATCTGTTCCCCCTTAAGCATGATACTCTATCCTTTTCTTGTGGATCTTGCTAAAAGGAAAATATAGCTTCAAACTACCCAGGCTCTTCTGTTGAAAGTTCCCTAGCCCTTTTCAAATGAGTTATGTGTTTATGTGTGGTTTTGTGGTGTTATAAGTTTCCAAAAGAAATCAGTTACATGAGAAATCTATGTAGTGTTGGGTTTTCTTACAAAAACAAAACACTTTTAATGATGGATGTGTTAGTGAATTTGACTATAACAATTACCTTTCAATGTGTGTGTGTGTGTGTATCAAACTATCCCGTATACATTGATATACATTGAATGTATATAATTTTATGTTGTCAATTAGATCTTAATAAAGTTAAGTATAAAGTACTTTTAAGTCAAATATTTAAGATAAGATCAATTCAGAAAATTAAATTTTGACAGTTTAGGATTAAACAAGGATTCCTTAATTTATATTTTTTTGGAGAATTTTTATTTGAAAAAGAATTTAGTTTCAACTAATGTATTTTCTCCATTTCTTTGGTCTTAAGTTCTATGTCATTTTATTTCTAAGAATGAGGTGATAAGTCGAATAATCCAAATCTCTTTACAGTGTGGCTAATGACAATGACTATCTTGCTTACATGCACACAGGTGCCTACACACACACACACACACACACACGTGCACACACACATACACGTACACATGTGTGTGCATGTGCCTCTATGTGTGTGTGTGTGTGTGTGTGTGTGTGTGTGTGTGTGTGTGATTTTGAACAGCTTTGCAAACTTCACTAAGCAAATAGCTTTCTACAATGACAGATTTACCAGACATCTCAGTAGGGGAATTTTAAACAAACACAAGCCTGTTTGGAAATACTTGGTGTATGTAAATATGCAAAATATGTTGAGCAGTGCAGCCGTGTTCAACAGCTGCAGGGTGCACTCTCTCATCCTTGAGAAGAGTATTTTGGTGACAATGACACTCATTTTTCCGACTTGGCTTTGCCCTTCCCCCATGAATCTTCTGACAGCACAAATCTAACACCCTCTCCCACTTACATGCTAATTCCAAGAGGTTCATTTCCCTGAATTCCCACTGGAAAAGGTGGGTGGTGCCTTGAAAGAATGTTCTTGAGTTTATCGATGCTGTAAAGGCTGCACTTGGGAGAACTTGCTTGGACTTGCTTTGACACCAGACTCACAGACAACCCAGACACTCTGCAGGCCAGATTCCATTTAGGCTTGTCACGGCAAGGGGTGGGTGAGAAAGTCCTGTTGTGAGTGGCCTTCCAGCAGTCATGGTCCAGTCTGTCGATCACAACCATTTTAAGCATGTCACCACATTCTGTAACATCAGACACTAAACTGTTTATGAAACTAAACGTGCCTGTCTCCTGAGAACCCGAAGAGGAAGTGGGGACCTCAGAGGAACTGTAAAACATGAGTCTGTTATTAAAGCATTTTGTTGAAATACTGTGTAGAAAAAGAGTTAAGAATATGAAGGACAGCCTAGACCCTAGAAATAGAGTTCATGGTAACTTGTTGCTATCACACCACTGTATTTTCCCAGTTTATATATTTTATTGGAAATTGATGGAGATAAATCTAAAATTGTTTCGGGAAAACAAAAATTACTGACAAATACAAAAAAGAGAACTAAAAAAAAATAAAGTAACCACAAATTTCTCTGTAAACAGTGACTACCACCTGAACTTAAGAAATCTTTACAAATAACACTATGAAGATTGACATTGACTTTTTTAGCAAAATAAAATGGGGATTTGAATTTAGACAATGTTATCTATTTAGTAGTTGTATATTCTTGGCTTATTTCCTTGGCTATTAGTGTGGTCATCTGTAAAATGAATGTATTAAGGGTCACTATGTGGAGAATTACAAAACTCAAAAAAAAAAAAGCCTGTGATCCAGTTATCTCCAGGTACACGTTGTTTTCTCTCTTTCTTGAACTTGAGCTTACTAATTGTGGAAATCTTCAGGTAAATCATTGCCAAAGGCACCCAAGTGCAAGCAACAAAGTCAGGGCTCAACCTAGGTGTGATCAAACAAAAACCTCAAGAGCACCATGCTGCTTCCCATCCCCCCACGCAGCCGCGGCCCCCTCCCCATTTTCTTCTACTATCACATCTGAATTTCTTTGCTGTCAGAGACATTTAAAAATCTCATGGCAAGTTAGGATACAGTAATAGGAGGCTCTAAATACAGTCAGGAATAGGACACTTAGGGACATCGACGAAGGGCAATCCGGCTTTTGTGAGGCACTTAGATTTCTAACAGACTATGCGACCGCAGAACATTATTTCCAGTATGGGGATGAGGAACCAATTCACTCAACATTCTGTTTTGAAAGATTAGGGATGTTTATCCTCCAGGACCGACCTCAAATATTAAATAACAATGGATTATAATAAATACAACATATTTTCGCTGAAATTTTATTTTTTATCTAAAATTGTCAATCCCTGGTCTCTCTAATTGATGAGTAAGATCTTGTCGATTAAAAATAACAAAATGAAGGCAGGAGAGATGGCTATGCAGTTAGAATCACTTGCTGCTCTGCAGAGAAGTGGTTTCCTCAGTGACACGGTATGGTGGCTCAGAACAGTGACTTCAGTCCCAGGGAATCCAATACCTACTTCCAGCTACCCTTGGCACCAGATAGCACATGGTGTACCTACATATAGCAGACAAATCACTCACACATGAAGTCAACTCTTTAAAAAATGCATTTTAATTGTGAGTTTTTACACTAAAGAAAATACTTTTGAAGAACTCTTTCCTCACACTGTGAATGTGCACTAGAGTAAGATGATATACTAAAATAAATACATAAATAAATAAATAAATAAGAAGACAAACATGGTTTGCACTCACTCATATATGGATTTTTTTTTAGACATAGAACAAAGGATTACCAGCCTGCAATTCACACCACCGGAGAAGCTAGGAAACAAGGAGAACCCTATGAGAGTCATACATAGTCCCCTGAAGAAGGGGAAATGGACAAGATCTCCTGAGCTAATTGCAAGCATGGGGAGAGGGGAGAGGGTTAGGAGAAAGAGAAGGGGAGAAGAGGCAAGGAGAGGAAGACATGAGAGAGTAGGAAGATTGAGTGGGGGGAAGAATAGAGGAGAGCAAGAAAAAGAGACATCATGATAGAGAGAGTCATTATAGGTTTAAAGAGAAATCTGGCACTAGGAAAAAGT